GTTTAGCAGTGTTTTTCTTTCAAAACTTTATAATGATCTCAGGGCACTCTGTTTTGACATATATAGTTACTGTTTTATTGCTAACCATTAGTCTTATAGTTTCTCTTTAAAAGTATTCTCTGGTTAATTTACAAATATTCACTCTGTCTCGGATTTTCAGGAACCTATGTTGTTCCAAATAACGTTTTTCTTTATATTTCTCTTGCAGGAGGGTTCACTTTGCTTCTTGGATCATCAGTTGATGCTGTTCATCAGTTTTGAAAATTTTTGCCTACTGTATCTTCAACTATTTCTTCTGTCCCATTTCCCCCTTTTCTCTTTCTGGGATACCAATTACATGTATATCAAACCTTTTGAAGTATTCCTCCTATTCTCTCTCCTTTATTTTCCATACTTGTTACTGATTTTCAGTTTGGATACTTACTACTGGACTGTTTTTAAATTCATGGATCCCCTTCTCTGCAATGTTTAATCTATTAACCCCATCAAATGAGCTTTTAATTCAGATATATTTTTGAGTCCTTGAGTATCCATTTCATTGTTTTTTAAAGTATAACTAAGATAGTGTTACATTAATTACAGGTATACATTGATTTAACAAATCTACACATTACTCAGTGCTCACCATAAGTACAGTCATCACCTGTCATTATACTTTATTTCAATATCATTGACTATATTGCCTAAGCTTTTAATCTCCAAGACTATGTTTTTTTACAACTGAAATTTGTATCTCTTAATCTCCCTTATCCATTTCACACATCCCTTACCCACTGCCCCTCCAGCAACCAGCAGTTTGTTCTTTATATTTAAGAGTCTGTTTGTTTGCAGTACTACTTAAACAAGCCAAGATATGGAAGCAACCCAAGTGTCCATTGATAGATGAATGAATAAAGACGATGTGGTATACTGGGACTACACCGAAGTAAAAACTTTTGCAGTTCCTTTGTTGAAAACATCAACAACATGACAAGGAAACCTGCTGAGTGGGAGAAGATATTTGCAAATGATACATCCTATAGGGATTAATATGGAAAATATATAAAGAACTCTTACAACTCAACACCAAAAAACCCCCAAATAACCTGATTTAAAAATGGGCAGAGGACTTCAAGAGACATTTTTCCAAAGATGACACAGATGGCCAATAGACACATGAAAAGATGCTCAACCTCACTAATCATCAAGAAAATGCAAATCAAAACCACAATGAGATATCACCTTACACCTATCAAAATGACTAGAAGCAAAAAGACAAGAAATAAGTGTTGGCAAGGATGTGAAGAAAAAGGAATCCTTGTACACTGCTGGTGGGAATGCAAAAGGAGGCAGCCACTGTGGAAAACAGTATGGAGGTCCCTCACAAAATTAACAGAAATACCACATAATCTAGTAATTCCACTACTGGGTATTTACCTAAAGAAAACAAATGTGCTAATTCAAAAAGATATATGCACCCCTACATTTATTCCAGCATTATTTACAATAGCCAAGATATGGAAGCAGCCCAAACGTCACTGACAGATTGATCAATAAAGAAGATGTGGTATATATACAACGGAATTATCACTCAGCCATAAAAAAGAATGAGATCTTGCCATTTGCAAAATATGGATGCACCTAGAGGGTATTATGCTAAGTGAAATAAGTCAGGAAAAGATAAATACTGTATGATTTCACTTCTATGTAGAGTCTGAAAAACAAAATAAACAAAAAACAGAAACAGACCCATAAATACAGAGAACAAACTGATGACTGCCAGAGAGGAAGTAGGTGGAAGGATGGGCAAAACCGCTGAAGGGGAGAGGGAAATACAGACTTCCAATTATGGAATAAGTCATGCGGACAAAACGTGCAGCATGGAAAAACAGCCAATGGTATTGAAATAGTGTTATATGGTGACAGATGGTAGCTGCACTAGTGGTGAGCACAGCATAATGTAGAGATCTGTCCAATCACTATGTTGTACACCTGAAACTAATGTAACATTGTGTGTCAACTATATTTCAAAAGAAAAATGTTTTAAAAAGATGATGGGGGGCACCTGGGTGGCTAAGTTGGTTAAGTGCCTGACTCTTGGTTTTGGCTCAGGTCATGATCTCAGGGTTGTGGGACGAAGCCCTGCCCTGGGGCAGTGCAGAGTTGGCTTAATTTTATTTTTAAAAAGCCTCTCCCTCCCCTTCTGCTCCCCCACCCCTGCTCTGTCCCTGCTCATGCACACACTCTTTCTCTAAATAAATAAAATCTTTAAAAAAAAGACAATGTGGTACATGTATATTTATACACATACATATATACATACACAATGGAATATTATTCAGCCATAAAAAAAGAATGAGATCTTGCCATTTGCAAAATATGGATGGATCTAAGGGGTATTATGTTAAGTAAAGTAAGTCAGACAAAGACAGATGCCACATGATTTCACTTATATGTGGAATCTAAAAGAACAAATGACCACTTGATTCATTTTGATTCTAATTTTGATTCTACTTTCTAGTAATATTTTAAATGTCTTCATTTTCTCTTCTTTTAAAATATATTAATACATTATTTTAAAATATTTGTTTATAAACTCTAATAAAAGGACCATCTATGGAACTGCTTCTGTTATTTTTCTCATGGATTATTAGTCACATGTTCCTGTCTCTCCCTGTTTCCTCAGTAACTTAACCATTTTTCTCTACTTGTTGTACTGGGAGTGTTGGCCTGCTGTGACTCAATATCTCTTTCTTGGAAGTAGAAGTCTTCCTTTCCTCCTGGGATTTCTTTTCTTTCACTGTGAGAATACTAAGCTATCATTGTTTTTATTTATCGAGAAACTGCTTTTGAATGGTGGATACTATTGGTTGATTCTGTTAATTTCATTTTTAAAAAGGATTATTTTATTTGAGAGAGAGAGAGAGCACGAGTATGAGCGGGAGGGGCAGAGGGAGAAGGAGAGAGAATCCCAAGAAGACTTCACGCTGAGCCCTACGTGGGGCTCAATCTCACAACACTGAGATCATGACCTGAGTCAAAACCAAGTTGGACACTTAACTGACTGTGCCACCCAGGTGCCCCCTAATTTCATTTTTATCATCAGAAGATTACACTAGCACCTGAGCTGCTTAAAAGTCATCCAGCCATTTCACCTGCTGAGGATAATCAACAAGATAATCCTCAGTAAGGCCAATATCAATGGCACAGAAGCCAGAATAACAATAATTTTTTACCCACAGAAATTCTTAGGAATATACATACACACAAAACCTGTGCTATAGTAGAAAGAGCACAGAATCTGAAGAAAGAAAACCTGGTCTAAAACTCATCTCTGTCAATTTACTAGGACAGTGACCTTAGACAAATAATTCTTCTACTTTGATTTTCAATTCATTAAATTGTTGTGAAGACAAAATATATTTTAAAGACCTCTGTGAATTATAAACACACTGTAAGATGCGTTATTATCTAGTTTCTAAATCTAGAGATCAATGATAAATAAATATGGGGACATGGTGTAATAGATATTGATGATAAAAACTGACAAGCAACATTATGATATCAAAGGAAGAGTCAAAAACTATTTTAAAAGTACCAATTAGAGCTAAGGGTGAGCTAGTTAATACAGGCTTAAATAGCCCCTCCATATTTCAATAGACCCTGAAGCTATTACTCTATCTTGACACAGTATGGTAATTGGTATTTGTGACAAGAAGCTTGAATTTGAAAGTAAATTCATATCCTATAATATTACTATTAAGATAAAGGCCTATCTAATAAACTTTGGAAAAACTGCAATCAAAAATGACTAAAATTGGGGCACCTGGGTGGCTCAGTCAGTCAAGCAGCTAACTCCTGGTTTCAGCTCAGGTCATGATCTCGGGGTCCTGAATGGAGCCCCTCATTAGGCTCTTTGCTCAGAGGGGACTCTGCTGGTCCCCTTGAGGATTTTATTTTTAAAAAGCCTTTTGAGGATTCTCTCTCCCTCTCCTTCTGTTCCCCCCTCCCACGGCTCACACTCACGCTCGCTCTTTCTCTCTCTCTCTCAAATCTTAAAAAAAAAATGACTAAAATAAAAATTCCAGTTAGGTGATATACAACTAGATTAGTTTTTATTTAGGAGCCAAAGGTTTTATATCATGTGATCTTAGAATGATTAAGTTTGTGAATAAAATGAAGAATCTGCATCACTGGCTCACTTTTACAAATGGAAAACTCTGTAAAAGGTATGATTTTTCACAAGGGAGAAGAAAAAAAATTAATGGACTGTGGTTAAAAAATGATTATGGGAGAGGGTGAAATCAACATACTGGGAGTACGAAAAGCAAATGGAAAGACAAGATGACTACACGAAGGAAAGGCCAGAGAGGGCATGTGGCACAGGTTTCTGAAAGCAAGAATCATTTGAGGGAATGCTGAAGAATGGTTGTGAAGTAGTTAACACACCAGGCTTTAGTGATGTTTATAAAAAATACAGGAAATAGTATAAGTGAAATAAAACTGGACTAAGAATAGTTGTAAAAGTATATTTACAGATGAGTTAAGGAGACTACTAGAAAGCTGATTACAGAAACAGACTTAAAATATCAAGGTTATCCAAGAGAAAACAAGATTTCAAAAAGTACTAGATAGAGGAAGTCAAGAACCAAAATGAAAAACAGGTACACAGTCTAATATAAAAGAAGAAAATCAGTATTTTGCTGTTGCTGAAATGGAGATAGTACCAGGATCTTTTTCATAAGTCCTGTTATAATATGACTACTCAGTTACAATTTCCCTAAAACTTTAAATGTGTTAGGCTAAAATTAAGAGTTATTTTATCTTGTATTTAAAGTCAGCACAGGTAAGGCAAAAGTGGTCTAATTTTCATGTGCATGAATATTTCATTATGTGATAAGTATTATTATTTGCTAACTAAACCAAAGGCATATCAAGTTCTGAAATAGTAATATCTGAAAAGACCTCTGTAAAGACAATTTTAAAAATAATTTAGTAAGCTTATGAATAAATCACTATACCTTAGCAAGTGATTTTACAATAGGATTCTCCATAATCCCCTTGAGGAAAATTAGGTCTATTTCTTCTGCTCCTGTAGATGAGGGCAGCTCCGTAAGGTTATCCAACACTTGCTGCATTGCTGCTGAGATAAAAGCAATAAAAAAAAAAACAAAAAAACCAAACCCTTAAATTCCAAGCCATTATGAAACACAAAATATTTGATATATTTAAAATAATTCAAATAAAAAGACATTAACAACACTCTTTTGAAAAGTCATGTTTTAAAAAACTGAATTGTTAAATGGTAAGTTTCAAACTGAATTCCCGCAAAGTAGGAGGACACATTTTTATACACAATTTGGGCTTTATCAGACTACCTTATACATACTTACCACTTTACACTTGCTTTATATTTTTTAAACTTAAAACATTACTCAAAAAATACAAAATTTTGATAGACCTATAAAAAAGTAAAGAGATGAATTAGTAATCAACGAACTTCCCACAAACCCAGAACCAGATGGTTTCACTGGTAAAGTCTATCAAACTTTAAAGAGGAATTAAAACCAGTACTTCACAAACTCTTAAAAAAAAAAATAGAGGAGGGAATACTTCCCAATTATTCTATGAGATCCTGATACTAAATCCACAAAAAGGTATCACAAGAAAATTATAGTCAATATCCTTTATAAATACAGATGCAAAAATCTCTAATGAAATACCGGCAAACTGAATCCAGCCATATACAAAAAGGATTGTACACAATGACCAAGTACACATTATCTCAGGAATGCAAGAATGGTTCATCAAGAAATGAAAATCAGTGTAATACACTGTATTAATAGAACAAAAAAACAAAACAACTACATGGTATCTCAATGGGCACAGAAGCAGCACTGGACAAAATGCAAACCCTTTTCGTGATAAAAACATTCACAAACTAGGAATAGAAGGGAAATTTCCTGAACTCGATGAAAGGCATCTATGAGGAATCTATAACTAATATCATATGTAAGGGTAAAAGACTGGATACCTTTCCATAAGATCAGGAACAAGGCAAGAATGTCTGCTCTTGCCACTTCTACTCAACATTATATTGGAGATTCTAGCCAAGGGAGTTAGGCAAGAAATAAACGGTATTGGAAAGGAATAAGTAAAACTATCTCATTCTGCAGATGACATGACCTTGTACATAGAAAATCCTAAGGAATATACACACAAAAATTATTAGAATAAATGAGTTCAGAAAGGTTGCAGGATTCAAGCTGAAAATACAAAAATCAAACATATTTCTAAATACTAGCAATGAATAATCTGAAAATGAAATTATGAAAACATTCCTTTTACAACAGCATTAAAAACAATAAAATAATTAGGAATAAATGCAACAAAAGAAGTGTAAGATTTATACACTGAAACTATAATAATAAAACATCATTGAAATAATTAAAGAAGACTAAAATAAATATAAAGATATCCTATATTCATGGATCGGAAGACTTACTACTGTTAAGATGGCAACACTCCCCAAACTGATCTACAAATTTAATGCAATCCCTTTCAAAATCTCTAATGCCCTCTCCCCTTTTTGCAGAAATTGAGAAACTGATTTCAAAATTCATATGGAAAATGCAGTGGACCCAGAATAGGCAAACAATCTTCAAAGAGGACTCATACTTAATTTCAAAACTGACTAAAAAGCTAGAGTAATCAGGACTGTGTGGTACTAGCATACAGAGAAACATAAAACTTAAAAGAGTCCAGGGGCACGTGGGTGGCTCAGTCTGTTAAACATCTGACTCTTGGTTTCAGCTCAGGTCATGAGCTCATGGTCGTGGGATCGAGCCCTGTATCAGGCTCCACACTCAGCAGGGGGTCGGCTCCAAGATTCTCTCCCTCTGCCCCTCCCCCCACTCTCTTTAATAAAAAAATCTTAAAAAAAATACCCAAAAAACAAAAAACAACTTACAGTCCAAAAATAAAACTTATATATCTATTTAAGGTCAACTGACTTTCAACAAGGGTTGCAAGACAATTCAACAGAGGAAAGAATAGTCTTTTCAACAGATGGTACTGGGACAACAGAATATGAATATGCAAAAGAGTGACGCTAGGGGGCGCCTGGGTGGCTCAGTCATTAAGCGTCTGCCTTCGGCTCAGGTCATGGTCCCAGGGACCAGGGATCGAGCCCCGCATCGGGCTCCCTGCTCCGCGGGAAGCCTGCTTCTCCCTCTCCCACTCCCCCTGCTTGTGTTCCCTCTCTCGCTGTGTCTCTATCAAATAAATAAATAAAATCTTAAAAAAAAAAAAAAGAGTGAAGCTAGACTCCTACTGCATTCAATATCATATTAACATTATTCAGATTAATTTTTTTAGTTTTATCTCCTCTTGATGTGTTTGTAATAAATCTAAAATTGCAGTTTTTAATATTTTTTAATTTTTATTACAATAAAATATAAACGTTAAGTCAGACTGTACTAACTGGCTTATAACGAAATACGGCAGTTCTCTGTTCCATACTGTCCTCCTCCCTCCCAACTTATATTACTCTGCAGAAGTAACTACTTTGAATTTGTTATAGTTTCATTTAATCACATTTGTATTTCTGAATAATATGCTAATATTGCTTCTTTTTCTTTTACCCATTTTAGATAGTATTTATTTATTTTCTGTTAGAATACTAGAGGGTTAAGCTTTTACCTTCCTCTCTCTCCAGACTGGCAATTTTTAATAAAGTCAACATATGGGAATCCTACACATTTTTTCCCCCAAATGTTCTAACAAACTTTTCACATTTCTGTAATTTTTCCAAATGCTCAAGAATTTTTCCAACACTCTATCAGACCTATTCCCCGACTTCTACTCCTGAACTCCCTCCCAAAGTATTCTTCTCTTGTACTTTAATCTGGACAGGTTCATCTCTAGGCCTCCTATTCAGTCTGTGTAAATGAGTGACAATTCTGAAAGATGTGAACAGAAGAAAAATATGCACTTAAAACAAGGAGAAGGAAAACCCATACTGGGCTAAAATGAAGAAAGGAGACCCAGGAAATAAAGAATACAAACAAAGCCTATTTTATAATTTTGTTTGGAGCCCAATGTGTGCCTTTCAGTGGGTAGAGAACAACAGAATCAATAATCTTTAGAAATATTTTTATCCTGTAACTATATAGTTAGCTCTACTTCCATGATGTTTTTCTTTCCTTTTTTTAACTTTCATTATGAAAAATTCCAAACATTTATAAAGGGAGACAAAATAATATAATGAACCCAATAACTATCAGTTCTAACAACTAGCTACTCGTGGCAAATCTTGTTTCATACCCCTATATACTCTCTATACTACATAACTTTGAAGCAAATCCCAGGTATCACATTTCAGTGTATCTGTCTAAAAGAGCAGGGCTCTTTTTAAACAATGTAACCAAAATACTGTTAGCAACCTAATAAAATAGCAATAATTTAATATCACCAAATTGTTATACTGAAAATCTTTTTAAAATGTACCTTCTATACTGGTTCTTGAGGTACTTAAATTTTTATATTGGTGCTTAATTAAGTGGGAAGAAAAGTGGAGGAGGTTGTAAAATATACCCTAGGTTATTTTAAAGATCTTCATAAATTGTTATTGATTCTTGATTATATGGAATTTAATTAAACACTGAATAAGTCTGCCAAATATCCGATGTTCTGGAAAAGGGATCTTGAATATTATAAAGTTGCCAAGCATTCCCAAATTAATTGGTACATTTAATGGAGTTCTAATCAAACTACAATAGACCCTCCCACATGTTTTCAGGCCAGGTCTGGCTTGTTCTTCCCCCATTAAGGAAATGGCCAGGGAGCTTCAAGGAACCTGGGCTGATGAGGCAGGGGAGCAGGGAAAACCAATGCAGTTCTGCACAAGTTGGGGAGGTCACAGCATCTGGCAGTAACTGGCTGTCCAAGGGCAATGTTGTGTTGGTGAATGTCTACAGGAATCTGGTATATGTACTGCTATTTAGTTTTAGGAAAAAGCAAATCATGTGTTTTACAAGGAAATCTCATGTCCCTTTGGGACCCATGCCCCCAAAGACTTCAAAGAAGAGACTGATATTCTACTATTCAAGCTTTAGGCTATCTGGTATGAACCCCAGCTCCTTGGGGATGGTAATGCAAGGTTGCTACAGCTGGAAACCCAGGGAAATCATAATTGTTACAACTGTCTGTCCAGGATGAAAGTTCTGGATGTCATCCATGCCCCTGAGATCCCATTTCAAGTAGAGGATGGCATCCCTGTTTCTTTATGGGCAAGAACTTCCACCCCTAGCTGCTAGATCTTTGAATCACTAGTACTCCTTTCAAGGGCCACTCAAAGCTCTCACTATACCCTATCCCTGCTGGATGGCTGAGATGGCTCAGTACGGGACAGGGGTCGGTAGCTAGAGAGAGTATTGTTCTATCAGGAGTCCCTGACCAAGCTTGCCACCATGGCCAAGGCACAGAATGGGAGCTCTCAGCAACAACAACAGTCAGTAGCTGGAGACCAAACCCAATCTCCTAAAGTCTCTCCAGCAACCATCAGGTAACATACCTCCCCCTCCAGTTAGAAGAGTAAACATGCCAAGCACCTCCTTGAAGAGCTTTAAGGACACTGTAACAAACTGTGGAGTACTCTCTGATGGAGCTGAAGGACTCTTGCTGAAGACTGAGCCAGACAGACTGCAGTGTGCTGAGCCAGACAGACCCGGCAGATGCAGCCTGGCCCAGCCAAAGCCTCACTGAGTCCAAAGCTTCTAGAGCTCATGCCTAAAGGATCATTCCCCAACCAACTCTGGTGGAGGTCTGTAATGGTCCTGACGTGCAAATCAGTCATCCAACCTGGGTATAGGGGCGAAAGACTAATGGAACCATCTAGTAGCTGGTTCCCTCTGAAGTTTCCCTCAGGATAGCTGGCACTCTCACATGTGAACCCACACAGTTTTACCCAGTAAATCGAATGATTAGAGGTCTTGGGGCTGAAATGATCTCAATCTATTCTCCAGCTTTAAACGGGTAAGAAGCCCCTGCTCGCTGGCGTGGAGCCAGGCATGGAATGCGAGTGCCTAGTGGGCCACTTTTGGTAAGCAGAACTGGCGCTGCGGGATGAACCGAATGCCA